AGATGCCATAGAGTTAGTACCACTAATGTTTCAAGGAGAATTTTAATTTTAGGCAGAAGCAAATTCTTATTACTATTGTATTTTGAAGATATTTTATTATCTAAGAATGAAAATATTACTTTCACAAATGAAAATTTATATAAAAGAGCTGGCAAATATTGGATTGGTCAACCCCCAATTTTCTAGTGGAGAAAACATTCCAATATTAATTACATTGGCGTAGGGAAATAATAAATTTGAAGTAAATTAAGAAATGTAAAAATAATGACATAACTTGGAAATATTAACGAAAAAATGCAGATCCAGATTGATATTCAAACATAATTTTAATTTTCAATTACTTTGATGTCTGTATACACAGACAAAATGTAATAATTTTTATGCAAATTCTCATAATTTAAATATATTATACTTTTTATATATATCACAGCATTCATTAAAAAAATACAAAATATTCACTCAAAAATATGATAGGTAGTATGTTTTTGCTACTGAGAGAGTGTATTCAATTTAAACTTTTTTTTAATTTACAGTAATTTAAAATAAAAAATATGTTAGCATATACCTCAATGTTCACAATTTTGAAATTTGGGATCATCTAAAAGTAATTTTCAACATTTTAATAAGATACTAAATTTCTTGATATACTCTGCCTCATCTGAATTAAAATTTACAGTATAAATAAATTACTTTTTTGCAAACATAATTTAGTACTTGATAAAAAGATTAAAATTTCACTCAGTTTGGAAAAAAATTATTGTCATTTTCGTTACAAATTAGTAAATGGTGGTGAGACATTTGACAAAAAGCAAAACATTTGAGAAAAAGCAATATTCTTATTACATATTCTTATTACATATTCATTATTATATTCATTATTATATTCATTATTATATTCATTATTACATTCATTATTAAATAGTTATTATTATAGATTTTTCTGGTGCTATTACTTTAATTACATCACATTTTTGAGTTGATTGTAAAAAAACACAGCATGATTTAAGAAGAATACACACAAATAAAACTTTGGGGCCTTTTCACAAAATAATAATTGCTTTTCCAAACACAGATTCTTCATTCTCAAAACTTGAAACTATACACATTCCTTGTTTGTAAACTGTTCTTGAAACTAGCACTTTTGAATTTTGAAAAAACTGTCTATAACCTTCTTGAATTCTGGTAATTTTGGCAGAAGAAATATTTTTATCAATTGGCTTTGCACTGGTTATAACAATATTTTTTCCTAAGCATCTTTCTTGATTAAAAGCATTGAAGTTCACGGAGGACTTTTTGATGGAACTAACCAGCATTTGCATTACATGGAGAGGAAAGTAACGAAAACCGTCCACGGTTAGCGTGTCGGCAAGAGGACTAACCCATGATCCGTTTACCACTGAGGATATTTTACGTCATCACTGTGGTCGGTGCGAGCCGGGTGTGGAATTCGTATCGACCAGCCAATGCTGTAATTCGAGCTAGGTTCACCTCATTGGAAAGCGAACGCTCTATCTTTTGAGCTACCACGGCTCATGAGAAGAGGTTTTTTTTGTTGTGTTGTGATGAGGTTAAAAACATGTCTGCGTAATAATCGAACATCTCCTTTTTAGACTTCGCTTTAGTTTAAAAATAACACCATTTTCAGTCATCAAACTAAATATTTTTACTTAAATTGTTGACATGCCAAGGTTATTTTATATCAGTCGTTGAACAGCCGACCCGATTTCGGGATGACGACTACTAATGTTCAACTCCGTAGCCTTGTAATTTTGAACCAATTCAGAAGACAAGGAAACTCCCGGATCAGTATTCCCAGAGGTACGATTTGTTACGGGAACATGAAGGACTTTGAGACTCGACAGATTTAATGTGCATCAGTCACCATTTAATACACGTCTATAATTAATACGTCTACTATTAATACGTCTTTGGCAGGCGGGGATCGAACCCAAAACCACTTGAACATGGGCCCAGTGTCCTACCTACCAGGTTATCCTGGGCCCGTGCAAAAGTTATTAAAAAATTTTCCTTTAAACCGAAAATCGGTTATTATAATTCATCTACCACTATTTTATTTTTTTGTGTGACACTGCAACAGCTAGGTTTAAGTAATTTAATGAAAATTACGTAATAGTTTATAAATGAGAGTAAAATACTGTTTTAAATTTTGAAAATAAATAAAAAGTGTTTAAAATCTAACAAGCAATTTTTGATTGTTCCATGTGAACCAATTGTAAAAAATAAAAGAATTTCACAATGTGATAAAAATTTCAAAAAATATATAGAAATTAGTCTTTCCGGATTTATTTAAAAAAAGATTTGAGTAATGAAAGAATAATCTTTTTCAAACCTGTGTCTGACAGTCTTTTCCAGAACATTTTCTTGTTTGCCTCATATCTTTATGAGCTCCCAGTTATGGTCTCCTTGAGAGAGTAGAATAACATGGTCAATTCAGTCGGAGTTCAGCAACTCTTGCAATGAAATTTCTTTTCCTTACGAATCAAAGATGTTTCAAAAAATGTTCAAAATGCCGAAAGTGTTAATTATTATAAATTACTTTTCAACAGATGATTTTTTAAAAGAAAATTCTGTACTGATATTTTTTGATTTGTTAAAATAGATATAGAGATATAATGATATACGGGTGGGTCTCAAATTTGAGGCATTTTCGATCTCCGACAAAAAACTATTTTGGAATTTAGTGCACTGCTGGCTTAGATGCTTGTTTTTTCCACAAAAAAAAAAATACGATTGAGAGTTACTATGTATAATATTATAAGAATTTGCTCAATATTTTATTTTATATAAAATTTTAATAAATAGAAATCTTAGAAAATCGGCTCGCTAAAATGACAGTCAAATTTATTTCTGTATATTTTACTAATTTCCAATGGGGCCAGGATTGTAGGTTGGCAGGGCGAGGGACTCAAGTTCGGGAGAGCGGGTGTTCGAATCCAGTCGGCCGAAGGCTCCCCGTGTAGTAAATGGTGACAAGTGCACGCTAAATCTGTTGGGTCACCAAGTCCTCCTTGTTCCCATGGAAAGTATGCATCTCGGAGTATTGAATTGGAGATTCGTTTGTTCAGGTCAAAATTACGATCAGTGGATTAATAAATGGCACGATTACGAAGATTACAACATCTCGGTGTCGGCAATAAACCGATTCGTCGGAATTAAGGGACGGTGAATAAAGGCGAGCCAAATTGAGATAAGTTGAAAGAAAAAAAGAGGAGGAGAAGCGTGCTCGAGCATAATCGTAAAGGTCTATAGACCACCTACGAGTGTCATGATTAAAAGCATCCAATGGGCTAAGGTAATAATGAGATACAATAAAAGAATGAGGTAAGAAATCCGAGTAAATAATAAAAGAATCAATCGACGGGCTATTTTACAGAAACAAGTCAACGATAGTGAGTAATACAATTAAAATGAAAAGCGAAAAGTAAAAAATATATACAAATCGGGCTACATAAAAGGATAAAACGAGAGTCTGATTAAAAAGTAAAAGAATATACAGAGCGTTAAAGTTAAGATTAAGATGCGGGCTAATCGAGGATGCAGGATTGAAAGCTGGTCTTAAGATGATGCTAACATAAGGTAGCGGATGCTGTGTCTATCATGTGGACCCTTCTCCCCCGAGGATGTCTACACCTTCAACGAAGTCTTATAAGGAGGTGATATATGAGGATAAAAATAGCTAGTATGAGATGGTGTAGTATTTGGAGAGGCAGGCATCAAAAAGGCAGTTACTAGGCTATAGCTGATATTATCGTTTAGGACATAGATTCTCAACCTTTTTAACGTTGCCGCCCCCTTAAGGAGCAAAAAAACATTTCAACGCCCCCCTTTGTTAAAATCCAGTTACTTAGAGTATGGAAACGTAGGGAGGTGTGCTGAATTATAAGAGGCAACATTTTTATGCAATTTTTTTACGCTTTAAATTTGGTTGTTTTTTTTTTTTTAAAAAAAATGATGTGTACATCAACTCAATAAATTTCCCCCGGCAGGAAATCGCAGTCTATTTGTTATGATCAAAATAAATACGTTTAATGAAAAGAAAAAATACAACAAAGAAACCAATGCTTAAAAAGAATAATTTATTCTTAATTAGATTATTAAAAAAGCACCAAAAAAATTTTTTTTACCCTAAAAAGTAGTATCAACGAAATATTCAAGTAACTATGATAGTGTGATGATTGTACTTAATGGTTCAGAACCAATTTCTTTACGATCGGTTCAATACTTTTAGTGAGAGAAGATGCAAATCACCTCGTTGCACAATTTCGAGTCAATTTCTCCTTTTTGTGACAAGATCTGTAACAGCATTGAATCCACTTTCGACAAGTTAGAAGGACAGGAAGGCAATTAAAAAAATTTTAAGGATATTCTATAGTTCAAGATAGAGACGACTGATGTTACCTTTAAGCAAAAATTCTGCGAGACGATCACCATTTCATTAGTTAAAAGTTCGACCAATTCCTCGTAAATCTGAACCTCTGCTATTTCAATATTCACTCAAGGGTTCAGAACCCATAAACTCATTGAGGGACTTCCAGGGAACAAAACATCTCTAAAACGATCAGAAAAAGTCCATGTGAAAAGAGTCAAGGTGTTGACAATATTCTTGTGCATCATCAGAGCGAATTTCTCCTGCTTGGCTGAACTCATTCCAACCAAAATTCCAGTTCCACAAAATGAGTTTTTTTAGAAAGGCAGAAATAACTGATTTTGTAGGAATCAAATTGAGCTCGTCGCCTTAAAGTTGTAAATTAACGCCATTAAATTTTGCTGATAAATCAGTCAAAGTCTTTCTTAAATTCTAGCAATCTGCCTCTCAGAGCTACATCTCTGTTTTCGAGGAACTCAAGCACAGAGTCGAAAATATTCCAATACCTATTAAGACAGAAGCTTTTGGAAAGTCAGCGAATCTCGGTGTATAGTAGCAAGCGATTGAAATCCTCATTGTTTTTTTGTTTTTTTTTACACAGCTGTCTGAATAATCAATCGTAGAGAGCATTACTGTGAATTTTGTTTACAGCAGATATGGCATATTGCAATGACTGACGCAAACGGTCGCTGATATTTTTTCCTACTAAATGCTGTCTGTGAGTCACGCAGCGAACAGCTAGAATATCTGGTACCACCCTTTCCAAAAGGGCGATGTCGACCCACCATTGCAGGAGCCTATCAGTAGCAATATACATATTATTCGCAAGAGGAATGTTTTTCTCTTTAAAATAATCTTTAACAGTATTAAAATTAGATTTACCTTTGATATCTATAATCAAGCTTCTTGCAAAAAGCATCCCTTGAATAATTTTTCCCACCTTTACAAACCGGACCTATGCCTATAGTAAAGCCTACATTATCTGGCAAGGTTGATTCCTCAACTTGAAGGGAAAATTTATTGGATATCAAAAGTTTGTATAAAGAAATTTCAACGTCTTCAGCCATCTCAACATTTCGTCGCCGCACTGTATCGTTGCTTATGGGATATTTTTTTATTACATTGGATGCGGCTGGATGGTGTAAAACTGCTTCTAAAACTTCCTTGTCAACCGGCAATATCAACTCTGCCCTAATGTTATGAGCTCTCCTAGACCAATTGAGCTATCAAACCATCGTCGCATTTTTGTGATGAGGTTGCTAGTAACCCAGAGACCGTAGGTGCCTTTAGAAACGTGAAAAAAGATGTTCGGGAAAAATGAAAAATCTTCATTTTGTTTGTCAGGATGAGTTTTTTGCAAATGCTCCTGCTAACGGTAAGATTTCATTACCTCATTAGACGCATTCATTACCTCATTAACGAATGTTTACTTAATAAAACTTTATTACCGAATAAACACATGGGTATAGTTCATTCACCAGAAGTTGAGACTTGGCTCCACCTCCTGGGACGCAGAGTTCATTTCAGCGCGGGAGTTAGAAGAGAAACATCTCCGTTGTTGAAATTGAGACAACCCTTAATTTGCGCCAAACACGAAAAGTGAATTCTTTTTCAGTCACTTACTTTGCTTTATCATCTACTATTATACATTTTGTTACACTAGCTAATTAAATATAGTTTAAATTTAAAAACTGCTGTACTCCCAGCGAAATGACTCATAAAGGAAAAAGTATTCACTCAAAAGAAAGAAATATCATAAAAAATGGTGCAAAATATCATCAAATTTATGAAATATTTATTGTTAAAAAAATGCACATAAAGCTTGCGAAATAAATATTTTTGCTAAACGATCGCCAAATAGCAAGATTGTTCAGGATTGCTCACAACCTTCTCCCAAAAATAGCGAAATAGTATCGTCGCATACCACGTGATGAAGGCGGAGCCAAGTGCCAACTCCTGGTGAACGAGCTATAGTTGAGAGTTCAACAGTGATTGAACAAATCCCTACTTCAAGTGCGTGGCACTCGATGAAAGAAAATCAACTATTTCTTAAAATTAATAAATAATTTACGATAAAGAACTAATTCTCGCATTTACCTGGCCAAATAAACTATGAGATCTAATCGAAACTGGGGAAAAAACCGTAAGGAAGCTAACGAAAAACCATTATAGGAATCAGGGGTCAAATCAAAAATTCATATTGTAAACGCATGCACTTTAGTTTCCACCATATGGCTTGAGTGAGTCAGAGGCTAAACCTACTGACTCATGCGCTGAGCTAGTTCGGATCAGAGAATAGGTGTATAAGTTCGTTTTATTGCTGGTACAAATAGTGTATCGGATAATCTTTATTTATTATAATAATTTTCAATTGTGTATAAGTTCGTTTTATTGCTGGTACAAATGGTGTATCGGATAGTCTTTATTTATTAATATTATTTATTATATAAATTTTATTATATAAATCTTTTTTTCCTTAATATTAATTTTAGTTATTAAATAAATTTTAATTTAATAATTTTATTTGTAAGTTATAAAATTAAATTTGTATGACAAAACAATATCATCGCCCCCCTACCGCCCAAAACATGCCCAACGCCCCCATACTGCCCAAAACAAGATCACCGCCCCTAGGGGGCGATAGCACCCCCGTTGAGAACCAATGGTTTAGGAGATCAATATTAAAAATGAAATTGAAGTTGTCAGCTGGATTATTTTTAGCATCGTTGAAGAATTTAATGTTCAGTTTTGAGTTCTCTTTCAATAGTGTTATTACTAATAGCATCCCCGAACATTTATAGAATGATTTCGACTTCTACAGTGGATTTTTGAGAGAGTCAGGTATTGTGGTGAAGACAGGTGAGGTTAAAACTGGTCTGATGCATTGAAGGTAGATTAATCTTTTATTTTTAATATTGAGATAGGAATATTGGTTTAGAATAGGTTTTAAAAAACGCCCCAAACGCTTTAAGAATAGATGTGTTCCTTTCAGTTGAGTTTATTAATAATAGTTAGTCCGAGATAGTTTGCATTTTTGACGATTGGTACGGCTTGGTTAAAGATCATGAGGTTATTGTTGATGTGTTTATTTATCTTCTTATTGCGAATAATTAAAAGATTGGATTTCTGTGCTTCATTTACAGCACCAATCTTCTATATCTTTAATACTACGTTGCAGTAGGGTGATGGTGTGGATGGACCTGGTGGATCTTGAGAGAAGTGTAGTCTGCGTAGAAGGCAATAATCTCATTTTCGTTTTCAAAATTATGTGGAAAGTCTGCTGTGTAAATTATATATAAAGGAGAGTGCCGAGAATTCTCCTCTGAGGTACTCCCGCCTTAATAGGCTTATAGTTGGAAAAATCTTGATTAAGCTTAATTCTGAAAGACCGGTCTCTAACATGTGGGTCGGTGATTAGGATGATATCATGAGGAATAGGAAATTGATGGAATTTGTAGATAAGGCTTTTATACCAAATCCTTTCGAAGACTTTTGCTGTATCTAACATGAGCATGCCAATAGTCTCATTTTTGAATAGTCCTTTAGCTGCAAACTCAGTGATTCTTACCAATTGTTTGACAGTTGAAAGGTTTTGCAGAAGCCAAATTGCTGGTCCGGAGGGAAATCAGCGTGTTCGAAAAGTCTTTTCTGTATGATTTTTTAAAAAAAAGCTTAGAGTGATGAAGGGAGACTTATCGGTCTATAATTACTGGGGATAACTGAGTCTTTTCCCGGTTTTGAGAAAAGGATGACGTTCGATTTCTTCCAGCACTGGGAAAAGTAGTGCATGTTTAAACAATAGTTGAAAATATTTAAGATGCTGAGGCGATGCGTAGAGGGGAGGAATTTGATCATGATATTAGAGATGTTGTTGTATCTCTAATATCATGATCAAATTCCTCCTATCTCTAATATTATGATCAATATCCTGATCAAATCTGAATGGATGTATGAATGGATGCGCAGTATAAACGGTTGTGACGTATGGGTGTGGCAAAAGTCGAATTCTTGATCATAGATGGCGCCACTGGAAAATAAGAACAAGCGTACTTCTTGCTTTAATGGCCTATGACAAAAACTAATTTCCAATCTCTAAAATAACTTTAAAATATTACTTAAAAATTTCATTTTATAATAATTTTAGAAGATATCTTGGAATTGTTTTGAAATTTTCTGGAATTGTTTTGGAATATTAATTATTTCGTGTAGTCCAGGAGGATGTTGTTGTTGTTGTTAATTTACGTCGCACTAGAGCTGCACAATGGGCTATTGGTAACGGTTTGGGAAACATCCCGGAGGATGATCCGAAGACATGCCATCACAATTTTGATCCTCTGCGGAGGGGATGGCACCCCCGCTTCGGTAGCCCGACGACCTGCTCCCGAAGTCGAGCACTTTACGGTAGCACAGTTTAACGAGGACCAATACCGCACACCCTCGGTCCCTACGCAGACTGATCCAAGTGGTCACCCACCCGCACACTGACTGTAGCCAGTGATGCTTGACTTCGGTGATCTGCTGGGAACCGTATCTTAACGATCAGGACTTAGTCCAGGAGGAATGTTTGTCTGTTACCAAAGATAATCTATTTGTAATATAAATGTTTCAGTCACTACCACTTTTTAATATTGCTTTCCTTATTCAATATGTAGGAATAATCATTTTCAAAAGCAATCTTCAGTTAAAAGTTAATCTTGAGTTGATTTTTGGGTCTTCAAAAGGTTTTTATGTTATCCGGTCTGATACCAATTTTTTGAAATTAATTAGTGAAGCTTTTTTGACTACTAGTTATAGTAAAGGAAGTCTATGAGCCATATTTGAGCCATCATATATTTAGCCTAAGAAGTATACACGTAGCTGTAAAAAGTCTTAAAGGAAACATAAATAAATAAAATATGAATACATATACAAAATTGACCATTTGTCTGTTACCTGTTAAAAAAAAACAGACTTGACTTTATTTTAAACAATAATACAACTTAAATGCATAAATAAATTATTTTAAAATGCCACATTTATTATGAACTAAACACCGCAATAATAATGATGATTTTCAGCAAAGTAAAAACTCCTACATTGTATACAATGCCGAAAATCGATGAAGTCTGAATTGATTAAACATTTTCCATAATGCTAAGACATTATGAGCAATGACAAATTGGCAAAGAATAAAATATGAATTTAGTTGGTATGATAATGATTTATTAGTATTAGTACAAAGTATTACCTTGGTAACAAGGAAGTTCATACATTATTTTGTTTCCTTTAATAAGAAAGGAGCAGAATTTTAGTAATCACCTTGTATTATTTATAATACTTAGCAGGATGTGAGGGACATTGTTTGGTAAAAACTTGCGCGGTATTTTCTACACTTGTGTTCTTTTAAGATAAAGGGCCATTGATCGGTATTTCTTACAATAATATTAACATAATTTTAGACTAATTATCTATTCGAAAATTGGTTTACTTGTTCAAAAAATTGAAATGTTATACAAAATTTAATTTTTTTTTCGGCAATAGACTTGACATTTTTTAATTTAATGATGACTTCTAAGACCCCCACAGGTTTAAATTTTAATTCTATCTTGATGCTAAATATTAAGAAAGGTACAAAGCATATACCAAAACCAATGTTAATCGCAAAAAATGTTAAATTTTTATCTAGTTTTTAAAATTTTTTCAGATTTCAAAATTCCTGAAATTCGAAAATCACCTATACGCAAAAAGTGAAATTAACAGAAAGAAGCTCGAGTGCTCTTTTCCTAGTTAAAACTATTTGGACCAGATTTCTGTGAGTACTCAAAAAATATGAATTCGTCCTAAAAAATAGATGTGTTTCTCTACAGAATGTGCGGGAAAATTCCGTTTTAACGAACCTCTTTTTCTTTTACATTAATCAACTATTTTGATTTAAAATTTTTATCCAGAATCGACTGTTTTTGTCTGCAGATAGTAGACTGAATTGTTGTACTTTTCAAAATATAGAGTTTTTTCGCAAAGATAAAAAAATAAAATGTAATACCTTCTAACGTCTTTGATTACAGTGTATGATAATTTTAATTGTGAG